GGGAAGCCCTCCAACTTGTGTTGCTTCAAGATTATTCTGACTATTATTCAGGGTCCCTTGATATACCACACGAACTATAGGACAGATTTGTCAATTTTCACCTGTTAAAAGCATTGGAATTTTGATAGAGATTGAATTGAGTCTGTGGAATGTTTCTGTTAACAACATTGAGTCTTTCAGCACAAGAACCCAGGGTGTCTTCCTTTTTACTTCCGTGTCTTACTTTTGCAGCAATATTGCATGGTCTTCAATATGCACATGTTTCCCAACAGGTAAGCGTGTGCTGTCAGCGCACAGAGCATGTTTTCCTTCTTCTGGCTTGGGTGTCTTTTGCTCCTTTCTCTGGCCCACTGCCGTGGCCAGGAGTTGCAGTACCACATTGACTAGAAGTGGTGAAAGTAGGGCTCCCGGCTGTACTCTTGACCTTGGAGGTCTCAGTCTTTCCTTGTTGAAGGTCACATTAGCTGCACCATCTTTCACCTACAGCCTCTGTACACAGAGGGAGTCTCTTCTGTCCTTGATTCGTGGGGTGTCTTGGTCATGGCAGCACCCTCATGGCTGCAGAAGCTTCCTCTGTGGCCATGGCAATGGCCGTGTTGCTTCCACTTCTTCCGCTCATGTGGCTCACCCGCGGTGCATCTGTCTATGTCTCGGCTATTGACCACAGCAGCTCAGTCGACCTCCCTGTGCTCTCTCCTTCCACGGCTCTCACCCTAGCTTACTGCCCTCTGGAGGCTGGGGTATTAGGAGGGAAGAGCTCCCCTGCCGAGGTCCTGTCTGGCCTTGGGCCTCTGTCGCTCTTGCCTCCTGAGTTGGTCAAACTGTAAGGCCACCTCTGCCAAAAGCAGAACAAAGGACTGACTTTGTCGATGTTTTTAAGTTGTTCCGTTTCTTTAGATTTCAGACTCGTCCTTTCTTTCCCTCCCCCCAGATCTTTTATGCTTTTAAGAGTTCTCAGTGCGTATTTTCGGGGTGTGTTCATCCACTGGCAGGATGGCCTCCTGCCTGGCTGCGACACCTGCGTTCTGTGGTGAGGGTCCGGCTGCTGCACATGCTGCCTGTGAACAACTGCCCTCCCCTAAGATCAGTCCTAGAAGAATCGCCAGAATGGCCCTGGCTAGCTCATGTTGTCTTTGTTATTGTTGACTTTATGCTTTTTCCTTTTATTGTTTTCATGGCAGCTTGGCGGGGTTTAAAGATAAACACTAGTGCTCACTCCTTTATCCTTAAGTGGTGAGCGCCCATGAAACCCCTCCATCTCCTGAAACCGTAATCTCAGCAGGCATTCCCACTTGTCATGGCCACTGCAGTTGACCCCTTTCACCCTCCAGTCTTCCTGAATCGCTCCGCGCCCCCTGCTTACATCGCAGCACCCTCTCTGGGCTCTGCCTCCCTCTCTGGCCCTGGTTTGCCAGCTTTCTGTCCTCCACCCAACACGACCATGGGCCCTGAGTGCGAGCTCCAGGGCTCGCCTCTCTATTCTGCTTCTATTCAGTTTAAATAAATGGTGTCTAGGAGTGTCTCCAAGATGGTCGTGTGGGGAAGGAGGCATCTGGGCTCGGGCAGCAGCTGCGGCAGCGCCTGAGAGAGGGTAACCTTGTCAGCCACAGACTGCCACATCGTGCACGAGATCTACAATGGTGAGAATGCCCAGGACCAGTTTGAGTATGAGCTGGAACAGGCCCTGGAAGCCCAATACAAGTACATTGTCATTGAGCCCACCCGAATTGGTGATGAGACAGCGCGCTGGATAACCATGGGCAACTGCCTGCATAAGACAGCTGTGCTGGCTGGCACCGCCTGCCTCTTCACCCCATTGGCAGTGCCCTTAGATTATTCCCACTACATCTCCCTGCCTGCTGGTGTGTTGAGCTTGGCCTGCTGCACCCTCTATGGCATCTCCTGGCAGTCTGACCCTTGCTGCAAGTACCAGGTGGAGTATGATGCCTGTAAACTGTCTCGACTGCCTCTGCACACACTCACCTCCTCTACCCCGGTGGTGCTGGTCCGGAAGGACGACCTGCACAGAAAGAGAGTGCACAACATGAAAGCACTGGCTGCCTTGGTGTACTGTGTAGAGAAGACTTACGAACTCTATGCTGTATGAGTCCAGAGAACGGAGAGGAACAGAAACACAGCCCGCAAGAGACAAGAGGACCCAAAGGATTTGAACTGCCGCAGTAACACTTTTGCTCTGTGAGGCAGCGGAGCCTGGGAAGGTATTTGGTTTAATATTTGTTATTTTTTAAAAAGAACACAGATTATGGGTATACCAAGGATTTTTTTCAGCTTATTACAAAAAATGTGATTTCCATAACCCTGGAGGGGGTCTGAGGCAATGGAAGTCTTAACTAGGCAGTGGACTGTGGATAGAAGCCAACGCTGCTGAGGGGTGTGAACGCGCTTGGGGGTCTTTAAGTAATATTGTTTAACTGTCCCATTCGGAGCCAACCAGAAGCTATCAACCATTAAAATTATGAGTATTTCAAAATAAATAAATAAATTAAATAAAAATAAATAAATGGTGTCTACTGTCTGACTCGGTTATGGCTTCTTCAGGCATCTCCAGCCCGGTTCTTCTAATTCCGCACGTCACAGTTTCCTTTTCCCATGTTGCTGGCTGGAACTTGGGCCTTTGCCCCATTCTGCGTGGGACTGAAGATTTAAGCACAAGTATTTAGTGACCTTATCTGGAGCCATGTCAGGAAGAGGCTTAGCAAAAGAATGCCAATCCCAGTCCTGCAGACACAGTGGGAAGCTCTGCTTGGCACAGATACAGCAAGAGCGCCAGACTGAAAAATAAGGCCCACCCAAAGAAGTGAATGAGCTATCTTCAATGCTCTGTAGGAATTCTGGGTGTTTGCCTTCTCTAATTTAATCTATTCTATGAGGTTCAGTAGTTTCCCTTTCATGATTTAATCTCCAGGGCTGGGGACACAGCTCAGCACTCTCAGTGCCTGCTTGGCAAGCGCAGGGACTGGGGTTCGATCTTCGGCACCACATGCCACGCTGGCCCCATCCCTGGGTGTGCTGAGCTGGCCGCTGAAACCGGGTGTGGTGGCACACACCTGTAATCCAGCACTGGAGCGGCTGCTAAAACAGGAGGATCACTACAAGTCAGAACTATTTAGCAAGACCCTGTACCAAAGAAATCAAAGATTATAATTTAATCTATTACCTGGACTCCTCACCATCAAGGTTTCATGATGGTTTCAGTGTTTCATCTCGTGATGAATAGTTGGAATCGCCCAGATATATTGAGATTTTTCTCTTGTTGAATTTTCTTCTGTGATACGATTCCTGGGGCGAGGTAAACATCAAGTTTTTGCTCTAATAGGAAAGAAGACTTCTTATTCTTCTCTGTCAACAGATTTGTACACAGTACATTTTGTTTAAATGTAACTTCCAGCCAGAACTGTGCAACAGAGCTTTCTGTCATGACAGAGAGGCCCCTGAAACATTGGAAATGTGACCACTGCAACTGCGGAAATGGCACTTTAACTGTATTTAATTATTAATTATTTAATCCAAGATTAGAAGGCTGGCCCAAGCAGGCTCGATCAGCCTTCCTCTGTGGGACCCTCATCCTTTGGCTCAGTTTCCCCTCTCAGCTCTGTGGCATCAGCTATGGGGAGCCTGCACCGTTCTAGAAAATACTCAGGAGCATTCCCATCCGAGCAGTCTTGGCATCCATGCACGAGTGCAGTGGAGAATTCTGGGAGCCGTCCTTACCTAGAGACTGCCCCTCCTTTCTGTCATTCAAGAGAAGGGTTCTGAAGCTTGCCTCCAAATGACAGGGACCAAGGGGCAGCAAGGAAGACAGGGCTTCGAGCTAGGCTGTAAGGACGCAGGCAAGGCTATGCTATAAAGGCTGAGAGCAGGAGTAAGCTGGACCATGAGGGGTTTTCTCAGGCAGCAGCGCCAGGAGGGGAGCAGGGGAGGAGGCTGCTAGGAGTTGAGGGGGCACCAGCCAGTTCTGGGATCATTACAAACAGAGAATGAAGGTGCCTAGGGGGTGGGGAGCTGGGCTGGGAGACCCCAACCTGCAGGTCCCGGGAGCCCAGAGGGGCCACAGCAGTCAGGGATCGGAGGGAAGAAGCTGCCTTTCTGGTCCACAGATCTAGTGAGCACAGCAGAGTCCCACAGAGCTGGGGAGGCCCCAGGCAGGAGCCTAGGGGCCAGCTGCCATGATGAGATGAAGTGAGGGTGCCACAGGGAGCCAGGAGGGGAGAGGCGAGGAAGGAGGACGGCAACAGGGAAGAAGGGCTGAGTGGAAGGGTCCCAGGAGAGGGCGCAGGCCATTCCTCTCACGGTGTTTTAGGCAGCTGAGTTAGACAGCCATATTATAGGTAGTCAGACATGGCTGGGCCCTTGGGAAGGAGCCACCTTGCAAGTGTGGGAGAGACAGGCACCTCTGCTGTGGGCTACACCTGAGGAGACAGCAGAGTAAGCAGATGCAGCCACACACCTCCCTAGGGAGGGGCCTGAGGGAATGGCATTCTAGGTGGGCCTCAGTCACCGAGAAACTGGGAAGAGTCACTCACCCCACCTCCCTCAGGGAAAGCCCCTGCTCTGAATTCATGGCCTCTTGCTAAGTGACTTCTCCACTTGATCCCAATTTAATAAATCTTACACGAGCAATTACCCTCATCATCTTGTCGGCTGACTGCAGGTTTGCCCCACCTCATGCCCACTTTGTGAGTTCCCCCCAGGTTTCCCACCTTGGGCCCACCTCATGTCATGGACTTGTTCTATGAAACCCCCAGAAAAGGCAGGGGGCTTGGGCAGCCCACTTGGATCCCCTTCTGTCTCTCACTTGGACAGAAGCTTTCTTTCCCCCAATAAATATATTTTGCTCTTAACCTCTGTTGTTCCTAAAATTCATTCTGTGATTTTAGACAACACAAACTTGTCCCAGGTACATAGCAGGTTGGGCATTTCTTTCTGCAGCCTTTAGAAAGCTCTTGGGTAGGCCTACTGCAGCTTGGAAGCCTGCGTGCCTAGACTGCATCCTGGCTCTTGGTCTTCTTAAGGAAGGGGAAGGTCAGCTGGGACATGTCACTTAGTCTCTGGATGCTTCTGTCCGCACCTGGAAAGAAAGGGTAATGTGACGACGTCCCCTGTGGGGTTGACATAACAGAAAGTCATCTGTGGGAAGCTGAGTCAGTTGTCTGTCAGAAAATGTCACCTGTTCTAACAAAATGTGAGGGACAAACCGAGTGGCCCCCTGATAGCCTGGATAACTTCTGTTACAGCTCTCTCAGGTAACTCACGAACTGCCGTGTCAGGACTTGGGCCTGGCCTCCATTCCGGGCATTGGGCATGGAGGTAGTTACAGGCATGCTTAACTGTACCAAGGTACAGACCTTATAAGAGGAAGAGACACTAGACCTGTCCCTCTCCCTCTCCCTCTCTCCCTTTCCCCACGTACAGCAGAAAGGCCATGCTACCCAAGAACATGGTGAAAATGTGGCTGTCTCCATGCCATGCGGATAGTCCCCAGCCTCGCCAGCCACTTCTCGCGCCGCCGTCACCACCGAGAACCTTCCAACCTCCAAAACCAGAAGAGGAAGCGAGTTGCTCTGGTACAAACCCAGGAACCTAGCCTCTGGTGATGGCAGCCTGCTCTGAGTACCACACACACTAGTGTCCCGGAGCCCATGTCACCCTGAAATCAGGCCTTTGATGATGGAATTAGTTATGCCAAAAGGAAGCAATAGCAGGTTAGGTTCAGCCCCGTGAAGACACAGTGACACAGAGGGGAGCCAGTCTTTTTCCTTGTCGCTGACACAACAGGGACCTGACACCTGCAACTTCAAGAGGACAGGTTTGTGCTACCTCATGGGTTGCAGAGCTGCGGGTCGCAGGCAGCTGGCTCCAAGGCAGGGGCATGGCAGAGAGGAGCTGGGGAGGGTCCTGGGCTCACGCTCCTCCGGAGACTGCACCCCCTCACAGTGAACCACGTGCAGGGCCCGAGATCCCATCGCCTCGCAAAGGACCTCCTAGGAGCACATCCAGAGGTGAGGCATAACACGGGGACAGGGCCCCGGGGAGGAGGAGAGGGTCTTGTGGCTGCTCCTGAAGCAAACAAGGACAAGGAGGCTAGCCAGGGGCCCTCTCCAGCGTCCTCAGAGGGGGCATGACCCTGACACCTTAATGCCAGACTTCTGGCCTCCAAAACAGGAAAAGAGCAAATTCCTGTTGTTTTAAATCACCCAGTTTGTGCTAATGTATTGCACCAGGCGCAGGAAGCTGAAGCAGGTCAGAGACCCCGCTCTGCCTCCGCTTTCTGCTAAGCAACCCCGTTGCTTCTCTGGTTACATCTGGCGCTCTGTCTGTCTGTCTGTCTGCCTGTCTGTCTGCCTGCCTGCCTGCCTGCTTGCTTTTCATTCTTTTTTGCCTTTTTGAGTTAAAAATAGTATTAGTCCGTGTTGCAGTCCACGTTTCTAAGCCTGTGTGCAGCGGTTCACATGCATCACACAGCTTAATCCCTCTTCCGCCCCTTGCCCTCGACTGCCGCCTCCTCCCTGAGCTCTTGGTCCCCTTCCCAGTCGGTTGTGAAAGCCTTGTGTCCCTCCTTCCTAGTATCTGTCTTCTTTCGCTCTGTATTTACAGTCGGGTTTCTTGCGCAATCTTCAGCCTGTGTGTCTGATCTCCTGGCTGGGCGTGGTCTCCGGGCGCATCTGTCCATTCCGTGCAAACGACCCCCCTGGCTTTTATGGCGCAGTGCTATTCCACCGGGGGGAAATTCCTCATTTTCTTCACCCATTGCCCTGTTGATGGAACTCCAGTTTTTTTAAATTAACATTCATTTAAATAAAACTAAAGTGGAGGTGCTGTAACCTAAGACCCCCTTTAAAGCCCAAAGGCACACACAATAATTCTGATCAGAGGCTATGCAAAGACTTCTTATTTATTTTTTTATTTATGTATTTTGTACAGAGTCTTACTACATAGCTCAGACTCACAGTGATCCTCCTGTTTTCAGCCACCCAAGAGCTGGGATTACAGGCATGTGCTACCATACCCAGTCTCGGTGAGCACTCAGCACAGCCAGGGTCAGGGCTGGCATGGCATGTGGTGCTTGGGATCAAATCCCTGTCCCTGTGCTTGCTCAAGCAGGTGCTTAGTCTGCTGAACTATCTCGCTGGCACTCCAGGATGGTTTGTTTTTTTTAATGCAACAATACGTTGTATTGAACATTAAAATAAAAAATCCAGGCACAGTGCTGCATGCTTGTAATTTCAGTATTTGGGAGGCTGAGGCAGGAGGATTACTTTGAGTTTGAGGCCATCCTAGGCTACACACTGAGCTCAAGGCCATCCTGAAGTACAGAGAAAGATCCTGTCTCAAACACACACACACACACACACGGAGGGGGGGGGGAGAGAGAGAGAGAGAGAGAGAGAGAGAGAGAAAGCAACTCTCATGGAGCAATGTGAGGAATCCCACCGAGATTAAGATAATCCAAGCCTCTTCTTCCCACCCTGCGCCAGGCCCCCAGTGGATGCTTCCTGCTATGACACAGGCCCTTCTACTCCCCAGCTGAAATCTTCCTCTGCCATCTTGCCCAGTTGTTCAGGAGCAAGGTAGTGCGATGCATGCACCCATGTCATTAGCCATTTGACACTACTGGCAGTTAGACCTTGGCAGCAGCCTGAATGCCCATTAACAGATGAATGGATAATCTGTGATGTTCATAGACTACAGAGTACTACTTTGCCATGAAGAAGGATAAACTTGAGTCATTGGTAGGGAAATGGAAGCATCTTGAGACCCTAATGTTAAGTGAAATAAATCAGACACATAATTTTATTTTTTAATCTAAATTATTTATTGTGGATTTTTTGCTATATCTCAGGATTTTGCAGTACCGTACAGTGTACGTATGTTGTTAAAACTACATAGGTGTACAAGTTTAGAAAACAGTTAAGAACACTGGAAGTGTTTTTAAAAGTGTGGGAAAGCTGTATAGGAGTGTGGGAAGGGTTTGTAAAGCCTTACACTATACACAAATGCGAAAATACAACATCGCTACTTCGCTGATTTTCACTTAGCGCGGCGGTATGTGGAGCAGAAGCTACGTGGTAAGTGAGGGAACAGACCGCCACATGCCATGCCAGCCCTGACCCTGGGTGTGCTGAGTGCTCACCGAGACTGGGTATGGTAGCACATGCCTGTAAGCCCAGCTCTTGGGTGGCTGAAAACAGGAGGATCACTGTGAGTCTGAGCTATGTAGTAAGACTCTGTACAAAATACCTCAGGTCACGAGCTGAATTCTTCCCATTATTCTGGTCGGAACCACAATTACTTTGTGAACTGAGCCCCGCTGTACCAGGATCCACAGGAACAAACTCGAGCTGCAGTCACAGGAAGGAGTCTACAAACCCTACCAAAAGCATATTCTCTTGACCTCTTTCCAGAAGACAAGGACCGACCCACCTGAGTTCAGCCATTGATGCATTTGACCCAACGCCGGCTCCAGCTGCAGGAACTCCTGTGCTAGGGGGACTGAGCTATCGAGAAGGCGTGTATATTGGTGAAGAAATACACACTACAGGTATGGGCACAGGTCTGCTACTGGTTCTCTCCCACAGGCGATGCTTCCTATTGAATAGCTAGAAATGACAGGGCCAAACAATGAAGGAAAATCCTCATGTAGAGGCATATCTAGAAGTGCATTGTAACACGATACAAGCTGAGGGAGTTGTGAAGAAGAAAACAAATGTATTTTTTTAACCTTTTATTTATTTGGTACAGGGTCACACTACTCCAGTTTGGTCTCATAGTGATCCGCCTGTCTGAGCCTCTGATTTCAGTAATCAGCCTTGTGGCACTGGGGAATCAAACCCAGGTCCTCACGTGTGCAAGCAGGCACTTAGACCACTGAGCTATCTCCCCAGCCAAGACACGTAAGTTTAAATATCACGATTCCTTGTGTAAGAGAAATGTAACTAAAGCGCAGACTAAAAGAGGCAACAGACAGCTCTTTCTCAAAAGGGAAGGGTTCCAAGGGACGAGGGAGAGGGGGAGTGGGGAGGAGACACAAATGAACGACGACACATCGTGCACTGCTCCCGGTGACGCAGCCACTGCAAACGTGGGCTCGGGAAGGCGAGCGGCACCCTGGAGACCCGCGCTCTCCACAGTGCTGTGTGTTCTTAGCCACGGCTTGCTGCTCTCGTGGGTTTCTGCCCAATTGCTGCCAGTATTGGCTGGGAATGTATTTCATGGTTGCTCACAAATGGCAAGGTGACAACTGTCATCCAGTCCCCTCTTTCCTGGTTGGCCGTCAGGCAAAACCATAGCACCAGGCTCCAGCAGTGCTGGGGACTGAGATCTCAGCTATCCCAAGTACAGCAGGGCGGACACTCTGTACACTCCCTTCTGACAAGAACAGCCCAACTTAAGCTCACGAGCAAGCTATGAAGGCAATGGCGCCCACTCCACTTCTAGGCGCGACCCTCTGTCTGTACCCTTGCAGCAGGCCCGTCTGGGCACCTTGTGTCTTGCTGGGCTCCATCCATAGGTCAGGAGAAGAATTCGGTTGCTCTTGTAGAATATTATTATCATTTTAGTGCCAGTTCTGATAGCTGGAGCTAACTAAGCCATCTGTCATCTTTAAAGTGCCTGAACAGCTAGCTGTGATGGTGCTTGCCTGTCATCTCAACACCCAGGAGACTGAGGCACGAGAGTCACCTAACTTCAAGGCCAGCCTGCACTACAGACTGAGTTCAAGGTGAGTATGAACTACAGCGAGGCTCTCTCTCAAGGAACAGAGGTAAAATAAAATAAATAAAATACCTAAACATAGGACCCTTAATAAGCCAGCAAACGTGACCACTGCAAAATGGTGAATGAGGTTTTAGCAGCTTCGTGGTGCATGGCTCCCTGTACCAGGCCACAGTCTGTGGGAACTTTCTGGAAGCTGTCATGGTCCCACCCAAATGTCACAGAGTGATATTGTCCTTACCAAAAGCCTTGGAGTTTTGCCCCCACCCCAGACATTATAGGCATCCAAAGGGTGATTTGTAAAAAAAAAAAATGACAGACCCACTGCCCCTCTCAAATTCACAGGGAGCTAAAAGGCTCAGGGAGCCATATGTGCTGAGTGTGATGGTACACGCCCATAATTCCAGCCCTCCAGAGGCTGGGACAGGAGGATCACTGTACATTCACTGAGGCTACAGAGTGAGTTCAAGGCCAGCCTGTACTATATTAGAAAAATCCTGTCTTGAAAAACAAGAGAAAATAAAGTGATCAGGTAGGGTCCATAGAACTGTGTTCAGAGCACGAGCACCCCAGATTCCCAGTCCTTTGTCACACACACACACACACACACACACACACACACACACACACACAGCTCAAACAGGATTTGCTTGAATTTTCTACCCACAATCAAATTGGAAGGGAAAATGCAGGGATGGGCTGTAGCCTTCCCATGGAGCAGGAACACAGCATCGGATCCCCAGGCCCTTGCTCACGCCCCCAGGAAGCCGGAGCTGCCCCCTGCCTGCCTCCTGGCGCTTTAATTACCAGGTAGCAAGGAAAGCACTCCTCCACCCTTGCAGGGGCCAGGAACACGCCATGGCCTTTGCAGATGAAGCCCAGGCCTCTGCTGCCCCGCGGGGGCGGTAAGCAGTCACTCTGACTTGGAAATGAACTGATTTGAAAGTCTTATGAAATGCCACTGTGCCCATCCAGACGCTGACTGAATCATCAGCGCTGCGGGGAGTGTGATGACAGTCACGACTGGCAGGGCTGTGTCACTTGTGCTGGCCACCAGGGAGGGGGCCTGTGGGGCAAGACTCCCTGTGGGCAGCTGGAGATCCAGGCCTCACCTGTTGTCACTGTCCCCAGATACAGTTGTGCTGAGTGCCAAAGGCTCCTAACAGGGGTTTTAAAAAATCGTTATTTCTTTAGCACGTGTTCTCAGGACATGAAGTTTGCATCCAGCATAGGGAGGGGGTGCAGGCGCTCGACACGGCTTGGTTCTTGT